GCAGAAGGTCACGTGAAGGGCTGGAAGTGTCGGGGAAACACCCAGCATCTTGGGAAGCACTGAGACAAAGCAGGTCTGTCCTGGGTTCTCCAGAGAGGATCAGAAGGAGGGAAAGGGCAAGTTTGGTGGCAGAGGAATAAGTGGCCCTGGGGACAGGAGGTGTCTGTGGTGCCACAAACAGGAAGGCCAGGAGGATCTTGAGAAGACAGCCTCCCCGCCCACAGCCTGGCCATACCAGTGGGCAGAACAGCCAAGCGCAGGGGTAAGCAGGTTGTAAAAACTGAGCATTGGAAGGATGAACGGACACTGCGTGGCGGGAAGCCAGTTCCATATGGATACAGACACACGAGGGTTCCTTTGTAAGACTACTGCGGGGGAGAGGGAAGGTGGAGGAGAGGAGGAGAGGAAGACGCTGAGTCGGCTGGACTTCTCCCCCTGACCCCTGTGAAGACCGGCTCAGGGACAGCCTGGGCACCGTGTACACAGACGTTCCCGTGGCGCATGCAGACGCCTGTATCGTCACAACACGTGCCAGACACCAGGCTCCGTCCCCTCAGTGCCTGTTTACCCAGGAGGAGATGTGGTGTGCCTCCTTTATCTGTCCTCCGGAGGGAGCCCAGTGCCCCTGACCTCCGGCACCAGAGGAGACAGTTGCAGCGGGGGCTGGGCAGGAGCTGGGTGGGGCACAGCAGCCAGCCCCTGTCTGCTGGGTGGGCACGGTGTCCTCCACCCGCCCCTCCCACCGCTGCCCTCAGTCCCTGTTTCCCACCTGTCTCAGCACCTGCTTTGGAGTCTGGGCCATTCTGAGGAGTGATTTCCATGACCAGCAGCTGACCCCTCTCTGTAGGGTAGTAGCCATGGCTTCCGTATGAGTCTCCCCCAGTTCTTTTTCAAATGACAGTCTTGCAAAGGGACCTAACAGTGGAGCATTTCCAGCCGGTAGAGAAGAGGTGGTCTGGGGTGGCAGAAGTTTCCCCCCCAGCATTTTATCCCAGAAGTGGTTTCAAACTAATATAACAACCGTGATTCTCTGGTTCCCTTCCTTTGACGTGATGTGACTTTGGATGGATGAATTTTTATCTCTGAGCCTCAGTTTCTTAATTTAAAAGACAAAGCAAGAAAAACTGCTCCGGCAACAAGGGAAGTCTTCCTGAAGGTCAATTTAAGGAATGAAGGAAGATGTTTTGTGAATTCTGAAGGCACGGACAACATAAGGACATCTTGTTCATTTTTATCTTGTCTCTCTGGAAGGCCGATTCTGCAGCCGTCTATGCAGGTGAGAGCAGGAAGTCAATCAAGTTAGGAAAAGAGAAGAAACTGCTGCATCCTGCAGGAAGATTTGGAGTGAGTCCGCAGAAAGGTCTGGCAGACAGCGGACTAGAAACGCAGGGAAGTCGGAGGCCAGCTGCCAGGTCCAGGCAAAGCCGGGCGTCAGTCCTCAGTGTCTGGCCAAGGAGGGGACAAGGATGTGACATACTTGGGAAGGGGGGAGGGCAGGCTGGCCCATGTTCTTGACATCAGATGGGGAGGGAGTCTCCTGGGGCCCTCCATGGGGTGCCTCCTCACCACTCACTGATTTCACTCGCTCCAGAAGAACCCAGCCCACGATGCAGCTGTCAGAACTGGAACATCCAGGTGGAGGCTGGAACGTCCAGGTGGAGGCTGGAGGACTTGACAGAAATCACCCACGTACTCCTGGCTACAGAAGATGCTTTTGAGGTGGATATCTGGAAACATCTCTAGGATCACAACTGAAACTTCTGCTGCTCGTCTCTGAAATAGAAGATTTGGACGCATCCTCACTTCAATCCTTTTGCCGCATATGCAAATGTTCTCTTTGTAGTAACCATGAGTGAAATACTGTGTGTGGAGGAGACAGAGGCTTGGACAAACAGGGATTGGGCGCAAGATAATTGCTGGGCCTCAGAAGAAGACATTGAGGTACCCATTCAAACAGGCTGCAGGTTCAAGAAGGAAGGGACCCCACTTCTACCTTCTTAAATTTAAAAGGGTTTGTGGAAGAGGGGTTATTCCAGGAGGAGAGACGGAGACTGAACCCTAAGGGTTTGCCCATTAGTTTTGCCTTTTGAGTCTGACAACTGTACATCTGTATGCTGACCCTTGCCTACATTGTTGCACTAAACTGTAAGCTGCACCTAGTGGGGAGAAACGCTGTGCAACCATATCTTTCCTGTGATGGTGTGTTGGTTTGTTTTCCATTGCTGTAATGAATTACCCAAGGCTGGGGAGTTTATAAAGAAAAGAGTCATATTGGGCTGGTAGTTCCCGGCTCTGGAGGTCCAGGAGCGTTGCTGCCGCTGCGTTCAGCTCTGGCAGAGGCCTCGTAGCAGGTGCAGTATGTGGTGTGGGGATGTGTGGGCACTAACAGGGGCACCACAAGAACTGCATTAATCCCACCTGAGGGTGGTGCCCCAATGACCTGGCCACCTCCAACTGAGTGTAACCTCTTAAAGCTCTGCCACCTCTTAATGCCACCACATCAGGGACCCCACTTCCCACATGCTAACCTTGGAGGATACATCCAAACCGCATCTAAACCAGAGCACAGGAGAAAACCAAGAACTTTGAGCTTGCATCATGTCTTCCCACTGTTGGCCGGTGCGTTCTGAACACAGCACGTTCACTTTTTGCTCTTTCCATCTTTACCTAGTTACCTGGGGTCCTGTAGGAAACGTTTCCTTTTACATCATCACAGGAGGTTCGAGTTTATGAAAATGCTACGGAGCCAACGGGCGGGGTGTGTGGGAACGTGAGCTGAATGTGGCGCTCAGAGCCAGGTGCTTGTGGCCTCCGCCTGAGAAGGAGTAGCCCCTGCACAGGGACTAACTCGCCCACCATCCTTTAGCTTCCACAGCAGGACTTCCAGTTCCCGGACCACCAGCCACGGGCTGGACAGAGACCGGCAGGAACTCCCAAGTGGAGCAAGATGCTGCGTCTTGGCTTAGTGCCCGGGAAAGATGCCGAGGGAACAGGAGATTGAAATCCCAGCTGAGACCGGCTCTGCGAGGGGCCGAGCCTCCTACAGAACCTTGTCAAGGAGAGAGTGTGCATCTGGCATGCAGGAGGGACATCAGTAATCTTTGTCGTAGCCACAGCTTGTCAGATTCGACATGCTAAGGCTTGAGCTCATGGATCCAAGGTCCAAACAGGGTGCATGCACTGAGAGGCAGTTAGACTTGTGCTCTAGGCAGGGTGGAGAGGTGAGGGCAGGAGCAGCCATGCTCACCTGGGACTTGAGGGATCTTTGCAACTGAGTGGAAGGAAATTGCAGTGGTCACCTGGCTCAACCTCACCACCCCTGGGCTTTCCTGGTTGCACCAGCAAATGGCTTTTGTGCTTTTGTTAACAGGGTCAATAAGCCTCTATGGCAGTGAATAGTTTTAGTAGATGGTTGCCCTAGCCTGTCTCCTGGATGTGTGTGCATGTCACCAATCCTGTTTCCCTGAGAGAAAACCGGAACGCTAACTCTCGGTGCCCTCAGACCTTGAAGGTGTCTCCCCTGGTCCCTTGGTCTTCTCTTCTCTGGATGGTCCACCTCCACTGGCTCATTTCCAGACTTCGGTCAATCTGGCCATCTTCTCTAGATGATTTCAGCTTATTGACCTCATTCCTAGAAACAGTGGCACCCCCACTGGGCCCATTCCCCAGATGTGGAGGAGAAGGCTGCTTTCCAGAAGGACCACAGGACCAGGTCAGCGCTGTCTCCAAGGAAGAAACCTCATGGTGGGAGGGCACGTGGAGCACGCTGTCCAGTCACGGCAGCTGGGAAGCAGGGAGAAAGGGATGCGGGAAAGACGCAGCCCCCAAAAGGCCAACCCGCTAGCCCAGCCCCACCTGCCTGACTTACCACCCAGTGGTCCATTCAAAATACTACTCCACCAAATGGATCAACCCACTGGAAAAATGAGATCCCTCACGATACGATCATTTCTTAAAACCCACCTCTAACCCTTGCTGCACTGGGGACCATGCTTCAACACACGGGGCCTGTCCAGATCCGAGTGATAACAGAGTTAGAGAGGAACTAACCAGGAACCGGTGACACGGCAGGCTTTTCAGGCGAAGTGTCGCTGTAATTGAAAGAGAAGCTAAAGGGGAGTGTGTCCAAGGATTTTTTTTTTAATGATTTGAGTTAATATTCCCCAGATTTGGGAGAGGGAATGGTGGACAGGGTTGGCTGAGGAGTCTTCACAGAGCAGAAGAGGCTGACCTTCAGCAAGAAGCAGAGGGCTGGGACCCAGACTTCAAGGTTCATCTAGGGAAGGGGAAAGGTCTGCTCTTTCTCTGGAGGCCAAGAGGAGGAATTTGAATGAAGGCACCTTCCCCAGGGATGAGGAGCAGCTAATGGATTTGGGAAGGACTCCAGAAGAATTGCACTCTTTGGGGTCAGCTGAATCGGAGTGAGGGAAGGAAGGGGCAGAGAATGGAGTCATGGATAACTGAATCTCCAACTCACTTTACCGAGTGGACAGTGGAGCCACAGCTGAGCTAGGAATTATCACAGGAGATCAAGGCTGGGCCAGGGGGTGCTGTGCAAGTCGATTCTGGAGCATATTGAGTTTCTGGTGCCTGTGAGTCAAGGACCAAGCTGGCCAGAGCCACCGCCCACAGAAACTCCAGCCATACGTGTGTCCTCCTGTCCTGCCAGGTCTCGCCGACTGTGCGTAATGGTCTCTGATGACCACAGTGTCCTTGTTAGTTCTGTGCTGTGTTTAGTTAAACCTGGTGTCTGTGTCCCTGATCTAATCACAAGCCAAGTAGCCACAAGACGCCTGCGAGCTTGCGGCTGTCCTTCAAACCATGCAAGTGATGAAAATAGACAGGATATGCAAATCGGCCTCCAGGTCCATACAAGACCTTACCTCAGGCTACCAGATTAGCTACCTTTGCCCACTAATGTCCCCTAGGATTTGCTGATTTGAAAAATCTGACCGTCCCAGCCTGTGTCTCTGTGCTGATTCTTGCTTTCTGTCTTTCAGATATACCAGCACTCCTACACTGGATATTATGTCCTCAGCAAACTTCCTCACGGGTAAGACGGTGCATTCGTTTTCTTCTACTTAGAGATCTACTCAACCCTGAGAGCAGGAACTGGGCTCCCTGACCTCTGCAGGGAAGGGTCCTTGTGTTGCTGAATCTGGCTCCTTCCTCATTCACGGCTAGAAGGGCACTGGTGTGTGTGGGGGGGTCACTTGGGTCCAGCTGCTGGCCCATTTGTGAAGCCACTCTGCCCACTTCCTGCTCTGGTTCCTGCAGCCTCAAGGTTCTGAAGAGTGAGATTCCCCCTGCCTCACCATGAGGCACAGCCCGTGGTTGGCTTAGGATGCCCAGGAGGCTCCCGGTCACAGCCACACTAGTGCCTTGAAGCTCCCAGTGCACCCTGTGGCCTCACAGACATGCAGGACAGTCCATGAGGAGTGAGGAGCCCTATGCCTTCAGCTGTGCCTTGTACCAGGCAGCCGTAGCCACAGGTTGGAAGAGCTGGCTGCTCAGCTGCCCCCTGGGCACGTCAGTGCATGCATGGTGGAGGGTTTTTCCGGTATTGCGTTCCCAGAAGTGAGGTCTCAGTGCCCGCTTCTGACTGGGCCACCCGTCTTCATGCTGCTTCTGCCTTGTAAGGCACTGTTTGGCTCCTGGGTGTCTCGAAAATGCATGATTCAGAGCCCCAGAGTATATGTGGGAGGGCAGGATGGGAGGGCAGGACAGGAGGGCAGGATGGGAGGGCAGGATGGGGGGCAAGATGGGAGGGCAGGATGGGAGGGCAGGACAGGGAGGCAAGACCAGAGGGCAAGATGGGGGGCAAGATGGGAGGGCAGAACAGGGAGGCAGGATGGGAGGGCAGGACTGGGAGGCAGGACAGGGAGGCAGGACGAGTCGGCAGGACGGGAGGGCAGGCGTGACGTTTCAGTGTCCAGCCGTGGGCACACAGACCCACACAGCATCTCCAGGCCTGTCTGGTAGCCTTACCCTTGGACCCCGAGGGTGGTGAGGGCTGGCTGGCATCTGGCGAGGCCACGGTGGGGTCAGCGCAGAGGCTCACCAGCAGGCGACGTCCGGAGGTTCTCACACTCTCATTCTCTCCCAGCTCCTCTCCTCTCCCTTCCCGCCCTCCACCTCTCCTCGTCCCTCCTGAGTCTCTTGTCCTCCCTGAACTTCCTGTTCCCCACCCCTTCCCTTCATCTACCCTCCCTGCTCCGTCGTAGCACTTAGAAAAGGCCAGGTGCTCAGGAGGAGCTTAAAGAAAACAGTGGGGTCACCGCCGCGACAGGGGGCTCCTGTGGATACTTAGGTAGCGCCATCCTGATTTTCCCAGAGCTGCGACCACGGCAGGAGCTGCTCTAAAGCATCGTCCCTGAGGGCAGCACCTACCTCAGCTGCATCTGCTTTCCACCCAGCGTAGGTGGCACTGGGCATGTCCTCGGAAGACAAAGGTGGAGAAAAATATTTTGTTTGGACTTCAGACAAAGAAGAGGTGCATGCATGGAGATAGGCAGCAAACTGTGATTGACAGATGCTGTCCAATAATTCAAAAAATTAAGCCAAAGACCGCTGGGGCTGGGACTGGGGCTCAGTGCTACAGAGCTTGCCTTGCATATGTGAAGCCCCGGGTTTGAGCCTCAGCATCATTATTATAAACTAATAATAATGTATGTATGTTGTTGTTATTATTGTTATTATACCAAAGAAACTGAAGATGGCCTTCCCTCGTAAAAATAGTGTCTCCATAGGAACCTTTCATCAGAAACATATTTCAAGTAGAAACTCGCATGTTCTTCAGTAAAAAGAAATCATTCTATTCCTTTTCAAGCAGATATATGTCTTCAATGGTCATGGCAGGCAGGAATATAATTATGCATTGAGATTTATCTACTGCTGGGAACAATAGAATTTGTTATAGATGATGGATCTTTCATCTCATCTTACATAAATTTGTGAGACACAGAACTCTAAAAGCAGTTTATTTCTAATGCATTGTGTGAGTATTTCACTGCACCAGTCAGAATTTAGCAGGAACAGAGTCTAAGAACTTGGCACAAGAGTTTGCCAAACAAGCTGGCAGGCTCAACAAGTGAAGCTCACTTTGCACTCCCAGAGCCCTGGAGGCTTGCTCAGTCCCCTTCCTAGACGGTGCCAAGGAGTAATGAGCTGCTTTTGGCATCTTAAAAACAACGAGAGTAACAAACCATCATCATTAATGGCTGTGCTTTGTGCACCTTTCCCCTGTGCAACAACCTTCCAAGAAAATTTCTCCTATTGCCATTTTAAGTGAGAATTCAGAGAAATTAAGTCACGTGCCCAGAATCTCACAGCCCACATACAGAAGAGCCAGATCCTGATGCAGGGCAGGCTGACGCCAAACCCCTGCTATTAAAGTGACCCCTTGGGTTAATTCAAATTAAGATCAGACTTAATGATGTTCAGAATATGCATTATAGCTACAAAGGTCCGGCTTTAGTGAAGCGCTGGTTTATTTCTTCCTGAGCATTCTTGTACGATTGGAAGAGACAGCAGATGGATTGCTCCATTTATACCCTCTGGTGGGCATTGAAGTCAGCGTCCCTTCCTGCCACCACTTTACCCACAAATGTCACCAAAATGGCACTGCTGTGTCTCCCTGCCCTCGTCTTTATCGTAAGACCAGTGATGGGCTATTCATCAACTGATTATTTTGAGTGTTGCCCAACTCCTGTTTGAATCAGAACCGCCCTGTACACTTTCCCAGGTGGCAGAAGAACAACTCTGGGACCTATAGCTTATGCTGTGGGTGGGTTTCAGAGAGAGGAGAGCGCATTTATCTGGTAAAAATCAATATATCACTATTAAAATTTGCAAATTTACATTATTCATATACAAAAGCCTAAGAGTCTTCCTGACAATCCTGAAGACGGACATTGGCACCCCTTCTACCAATGCCCCTGCCTGTCCTTCCATAGCTCCTTCCCCTCAGCTAGAACCTCAGACTTCCCACCAGTCACACATATGTGTTAGATAATTCTTCAGCATCCTCTTCCTGCCTTCTTTTTTGCAAGTGATGAAGGAGAATCTGGAGAGGGCGCCCCTCTGTCCTACTCCTGTGTTCCTCTGTCACATGCGCTAGCTGCTGTCCTTCTGTGATTTTGACCTTGAGGGTGGGGATAAGTGTGCCCCTGATGGCTGGAGCACTAGGCGCCTGCTCTGTATTTCTTCAAGACCATTTACCTGAAGGCGGATTCACTAGACTTGCACACACCAAGTTTCCAAGAAGTATATTCTTAAAGAACATGCATCTTTTATGCAAATTTGTTTACATAAATGGATTAAAGCTGCTTATTTTTAATCATAGAGCATTTCACTAAGTGTTTATATCCTTGTCTCAACAAAATACATCCATCTTGCACAGTAGAGATTCTAGCCAGCTAAATGTTCTCTGTTATGAGTCTCCTATGTGTTTCAGACAAGATTGTTTTGTAGATTGGCTGCCTTGTGACATTTTTCTGGCACAACATTTTTTTTTAATTAGTTTCGCCTTTGGCTCAAGTACTTTTAAAAAAATGTACGCGTGTGTGCATGTGCTCAAGTTATACAATCTCATATCTATTCTATTGTTCTGAAAATCATAAAGAGTAGAGAAAATCAACGCCTTTTATAACAGAAATCCATTTTTAAGAAAAATTAGACTTGTCCTTTCATTTGGGGGGTCTGGCAAACTCAGAGGAATCACGAGGGGGATTGGCAGGTGTTGTTTTACAGAGGTCCTTCTGCCTGGAGTTGCACCCTTAACTATACAGACTGGGGTGCAGAGGGATCCCCACTGTTTAGGAAGCACATGTACCAGTGCCCAGTGCCTCACGTAGCAGTGTGACGTGGGCATCCAGGACTGTAGCCCTGCAGTCTCAGAGCCCTGAAGGCACATGCCCTCTCCACCCCCGAATGCAGCTGTGTGCCCTAGAGAGCTGTTCTGCTTCCACAGTTCTTAGTTTCCATACTTTTAAAAAGATGATAGTAGCAGCGCCCACCTCCCAGGCTGCTTGTGACAACTCAGGGGATGATACACGTGAAATGCAGAGAGGAGAGTTTGCTTTTGGTGAGCTCTTCATTCTTAATATTGTAGTATGTACCTGATATATATTTATAGTCTTGTAATTAAATATTATCAGACTACTTCCTAGCCAGCCCAAATCCCCACTGTACAAGGACAGCTGTAATATGCCTCTACAATAATGAAATTTCCTCTAATTATTTTTCTAAAGCAGGGCTTGTTCCATGACACTTGAGTAATTCTGCAGCCCATGTAATTTTAATTTTCCTCTTAGAAGAGGTATTTGTAGTCTCATCTATGTACAGTTCTAAATGCTCAATGAATTATTTTTTATCTCATCTTGTTCTGACCTAGTGCAGTTAATTTTTAGCCATTCTTGTTTAGCCCCCACTGGAAGCAGTAAAGTCACTGTGAGCCAGCAAGCTTTACTGAAAGACTGTATCAAGCCACGGAAACTTGGTTGCTATTGTTAAGAAGTTCGAATTCTTACAAAAAGGAAAGATACAGAATTGCATAGCAACATACAGTAAGGTACACCCAGTGGGTGTTTTAAATCTGTGAAGGAAAAAAGCAAGGGTCTGGGCACCCTGATCTCAGGAACAGCCTCACGAGGGAGGAGCGGGGCCTGGCAACGGGTTGATTCGTTGGTTTGTTCTCGTGGTCAGAGACAGGAAGGAGCAGCTCTAGGCTGGGGAGGGCACACGTGCAGCTTGACCTTCGCGATGCGCCAGTGCTCTGGGATGCAGGAGGTGCTAGGCAGGCTGCAGCTGCTGTGTGCCTGGGACACCACAGCGTAGAGGTGAGGTTGGGGGAGTTTTAGGGTGTGCCTGGAGTGCAGGCAACCTCAGCACCACCCGGTGTGGTTGGCTTTTACATTGAGAACATGGCAAAGGTTTTGAGTAGAAGGGAGGAGACATGGTGGATGGCATGCTGGGTGCTGGCGCAGAGTAGCCTGAAGGGAGGTGAGAGGTCTATATTCAGTGAGGGGGTCTGGGGAGGGGTCATGCAGCTAT